AGAGAGAGAGAGAGAGAGAGAGAGAGAGAGAGAGAGAGAGAGGGAGAGGTGTTCTTCATGGTAGTATCATCAAACCGCCGCCGGGAACACGCCTCTTCTTCTCGTCTCGCTTGCTCCGCCAATGGAGACAATAGGGCCACACGCGAAAGGCCCACGCCCGTCGAGGGAGAGACAAGCATGGACAACGACTTCCATAATCACGCAGAACAACCCCTCCCCCCGACCCAAACCCCTCCCAAAAATAAAAGACAACGAGTTCCATCATCACAAAGATTACCCCCCCTCGTACTGCCCCCCAAAAGGAGCAAGCGAAGGCCCACGCCAACGAGGGAGAGGACAAGGAGGTCCACGACCGGGAGGAGGAGCTGAGGGCGAAGCTCAGGGAGGCGGAGCAGCGCTGCCTCGACCTGCAGTCGAGCATGGAGAAGATTCGGGAGGCCGGGAAGAGGCGGGGGTCGATCATCGTGCCGCCGCCGCCGTCGGGGGCGTTGGCAGGCGGTGCGGAGGCGCTCGATGATATGGGGCTGCCGAAGCTCAGCGTCGATGTGAGTGGTTCGGGGGGAGGGAGGGAGGGAGGGAGGGAGGGAGGCATGTATCTAGCTTACAGTCGTGTCATGGTATGGAGCTCGGCAAACGACCCACAGTAGTATTGATGTTGAGGTCCGCGACATGCTTGCTCGTGTGCATGTTGTTGTTTCTTTGGTTGCCGGCGCTACTACTGCACTTACCGTCAAGCGTAAGTAGTTACCCGATTCCCGTCGAAGAAACTCTAGTATATAGCAACAACGACGACGACAACAACAACAACAACAACAACAACAACAACAGTTCTTAGATGATGCGAATAGTAGCACTAGCCAAGTAACGGAATGAGAATCATTCACAAGCGCGACGATCCTGTTACCGGCACACCTCCACTATTCGGTGTGTTGGAATCCTCGATACACCGTAGAACCTCTCCCTGAGGACGCCCCTCCCCCCCCTGATCGATGCTCAGATTCGCACCCCCAACAACATCTTGAGGTATCGTGGAGGCTTCTTCGCACATCTTTCGGGGGCTTCTCGCATTCCCTAGCCTTGTTGTCTCTCTGTCAAGTCTCAATCGAGAACACAATCAAATACAACCCCCCCTCCCCGGTGTTTGCCATCGGGGTTGGGTTTTTGTCGCTTGGCAGCGACGTTGTAAAATAAGCCAGTTCACTTCGTGAACTCGGCAACCAGGTTACCGGGTTTTTTTTGGCGGTAACCATAGTGGTGGTCGAGTAGATCATGTTGTGCGGGGTGGAGAACCCTCACTCCGCGCAAGGGGGATGATCGCACCACGTTGTGTCTAAATGGTCAAGCACCCTCGAGGCAGTTACACAGTGCTTACAACTGTCTCAGGAAGTGAAAGCACCAGAAAGTAAATTAAGTCATACGCAGCTGTCATCCGTACGCAAGGAAGTAAGCACAAGATGCCGAAAACCCTTAGCAGGATCCAGCGCACCCTTGATGCGACTCGCCGAATATCTCACGGCGCTTCGCGCTTGGTGATGTGAGAGCCTGGTCCGGTGAGAACCCGGCGTGCTCCGTCCCGGCTTTGTAGGGATGCGAGGTCAATGGTCTAACGACTACGGCATGCACGACTATGAGTACACCCCCGCCCCCCCGCTACTCCGCCGTGCAGACGAATCCCTCGATCACGGGGATTCCCCGGGCACCAACTGTAGTAATCGAGGAAGACCGATTCATGTTTGCATTGTCTAAGCGCCACACGGAAGTTCCTTCCCTTAGCCGTTGCTGGTTGGATGACGTACGAAGAAAGAAGTCCCAGGCCATTCGAACGTCAGGAAAATACACATCAGAAAAAACAAACTCTACAGCAGCTATGGGGTTTGAACAGTAAATAGCGACCCTTCCCCTCCACCCATCCCACCCCGTTCGATATCGCTGTGCTGCAGGTAAACCCTTCGACCAGGGGGAGCCTATCCGCCGGCGGCGGGGGCTCCGCGCAGAGATACAGCCGCTCCGCGTCCAACTGCTCAGGTGAGGGAACCAAGCCGCACGGGTCGTCGGTCCACCTACGTAGAAATTTAACACGGTAGAGAGACACCTGTTCGGATGCGTCGCGTGTCATAACGTGACCACAGTTTTGGTGATTGGTGCATCCTGATGGTACTGCATGCCATCCGGTACATTTCAAGCGCTTTTATTTTGTGTTCCATCAGGGGACGAGGACATGGCTTCCGACTTCGAGGACGAGCCCGTGCCGTACTGCCAGAGCCACCTCGAGGAGATACACGACGCCCCCACCCCCGTGGGCAACCTCGTCGACAGGGTGCAGGTGTGTCAAACGAGAAGTGTTTCAGTGTGTCTCTATCTGCATGAGCACCATTGCCTTTCTGCATAGGTCAACGTGTGCCAACTTCGGCTCTTGGGCTTCGGTATACATACATGCACCAATGTGTACCAAATTTCGTCTTTCGTGCGAAGTAGCAGTAACGCATATACTTGAACAAAAACGTGACGGCGAACAAAACTCGATTGTTTTGTTAGCATCGACCGGTGCTGAACCGTTTGGTCGGCACAAGCACGTCAGTGTCAGGGGGATAGAGAAAGGAGTCCCCTGGAAGCCCGAAGGACGAAAAGGCCCCCCGTCGCCGATGGGGCCTTTTTTGCCGCCAGATTGAAACCGAACGAGGCCCCAAACAGCCTTCGGTGGGGTCGCTGCTGTCGACAGGGCTTGTTTTGTGGATGCCGATGGTGGTGATGGTGGCGGCAGCGAGCGGCGGTGGTCATTTGCTGGGCGTCTGCTGAAAAACTGTTGCACCGCCCCCAAGTGCACAACACCTATCTATACCCCCATACCCCAACCGTGCCACTGCCGCCATAAAACGGGACGCCGGAGTGCTCAGCGGCCGTCACCACCAAACGGTGAATAGAACTGCCAGCTAATAAGCATCGTCCAAAACCCTAATTGCTTCCAAGCGTATCGACAATTTTTTAAACGCTAGAAACCGCAGGACAATTAACACACTATTATACATTCGGGAGCTCATCGCCAAGTCAATTCACTCTTCACAACGACTCTCAAGCATGCGCATGTGTTTTTGTCTTGCACACCCACCCGCAGTTCATCACCAAGAAGTGCTCGGACGGGCTGGGGGAAGCGAAGTTCGCCAAGGCCCTGGACCTGCTCAAGAAGATGCAAGAGGGCGACTGCAGGGTCACCTTGGACGGGGTCGAGTACGACGGAAACGAGGAAGACGATGTGGGTGGATGGATGGATCATGGATGGATCAGGACTACTTGTTTTTGTACGCCCCATGCTCATCACTGTCGTCATGTCCGTACCTTGTGACGCATCCCTCCCTAATTACTGACTCGTGTATACATTTAATGCCCTTGTTTTCGACGACACACGGACGACAGGTTGAGAAAGTGCTGGTGAAGGTGATCGGGAAGCACAAACTCCACTACTGGAACTTATTGGACCAGCTGCTGCTCATGTCTTAAGCCTATGGCGCGCACATGATACCCATCTATCTTGCATAGTCTACCTACCTACATAGACGACATGAGAGGGGGAGTTCATTCAGCGTTTTACCCAGACTGGTATTGTTGGGGAGCCAGAGAGTGGAAGCAAGCCAATGGCAACCAGGGTTGCCTCGTGCATTTGTAGGACGAAGGCTTGTCCATTGAACGAACTAGAGCCGAGGGGGCCGGGAAGGTATGTGTGTATGCCCATCCCCATCTTTTGCTGTTCTTTCTCGCACCGTTTCTCTGCTGTTCTGCGGTGGTGGGGAACACGAGCAAGATCGATTTGCACGAACGAGCACATAATAATACGCGCAGAAGGAAAAGAGCGAGTGTCGGAACTCAAGGCGGGCTTTTTGTTTTTGTAGCAAATGTTCCCTCTCGCAGCGACTAAACGAAGCATCTTGCATGCATGGGCTAAAGGTGTCGAAGAACAAGTTGCACTCGGGTCTGCTTAGTCTAACCAGAACCAGACAACACGTGATGAAGCAGGACGCGTCCAGGGCCGCTCGTGGCCGGCCGACAAACTGGTGGGTTCGTGTTCCAGGGGGAGGGCTTGTTGTTTTTGCAGCAAATGTTCCCTCTCGCAGCGACTAAACGAAGCATCTTGCATGCATGGGCTAAAGGTGTCGAAGAACAAGTTGCACTCGGGTCTGCTTAGTCTAACCAGAACCAGACAACACGTGATGAAGCAGGACGCGTCCAGGGCCGCTCGTGGCCGGCCGACAAACTGGTGGGTTCGTGTTCCAGGGGGAGGGCTTGTTGTTTTTGCAGCAAATGTTCCCTCTCGCAGCGACTAAACGAAGCATCTTGCATGCATGGGCTAAAGGTGTCGAAGAACAAGTTGCACTCGGGTCTGCTTAGTCTAACCAGAACCAGACAACACGTGATGAAGCAGGACACGTCCGGGGCCGCTCGTGGCCGGCCGACAAACTGGTGGGTTGGTGTTCCAGGGGGAGTATTGGGGGGGGCGGGGCGAGGGGGGCATGCACGGGGTGGGTGGGATTGCGTGAGGGGTGGAGGGGGGGGGAATCCTAGGCAATGATGAATTCGTTTCTTAGCGTTGAGCGGAGTATTGAATACCGTGTGCGTCTTTCTTCTTCTCTGGCTTGTGTGCAATGACATGCCATGTCTAGGTTTCCTTTCCCGTAGGTCATGGCTTTGTCGGAGCTCGGGGGCGTAGGGGGAGAAGGAGGGGGAGTGAGGCGGTGAGGGGTCAAGCTCGGAATGGACGTCGAAGTCACGAATGGATGCTGTGCAGGTTTTCGACGTGGTACACTAAATCCTGCAATTAGACTAAACGCAGTGCGCACTACACGTACATCGATATCAAGCGTGTTCGGAAGGGAAAATAGCAGCGCATTGGGAGGAACTGTTGGCGATTTTCTCCTAGGTCAAGTCTGAAAAACAGCTAATCACGGGGGGCGCGGTCGGACGTTGCTACCCAGTGTACAGCAGCAGGGCAAAGAAGCCCGACATCTGTCTACATTGTAGCGAGGTGGCGTTGTTGTCGCGACGAAGCCGGTGTTAAAGTCGGGTTTTCGTATCTCCGTCAGCTGTCTGTGTGACAAGACAGATAGACAGACGGGCGGAGAATGTACATGTTTTCGTTCTTCTAAGCATCTTTTGATTGGTCAGATGTTCAAGAAACGCCATTTCGGGGCGTCATCATCAGCGTGTCAGTAGTACTCATTCAATGATTTTTCTCATGGGCTCTTGTGGCATGGAGCGATACAGCTGCTGTGAGGGCACCCGAGTTGTTTTTTGCGGTATTGACTATCCTGCGAGCTTGTGGACTTCGATCCTAGAGTCCTATTATTGTACAGGATGTCCGCTGAACATTGGCAATACCTACGTACAAGACCCACGGAAATAAAAAAAAGCGCACAATGTGCGCATTGGGACCGCGTAGACCACGTAACACTTTCTCTCTCGACTATTTTTTACGACAGGTGTGGCACAGCCCGGTACAAGCATCTTTCTATGATATCAGTTCAATGCACCCCCCGGTAAGAGGAGAAGATGGAGCAGACAGAGTGCGGCACACAGCAAGAGGTGGTGTGTGCACCATAACCATGCAAACTCGACTATGACTACGTCGAAGTTGATAAAGACGATATCGCGCATGTATGTATTTCCCTCTGTGCGGTGACGTTGTCCACAACCATTGAAGAACCTAAATCACGCGCAGGGCAGATGAATCGTTCAATGTGCCCGCGCCGCATGGTACCTCCCTAGAGAACACACGTCACGTATGTTCACTCGGAGTCACCTTTCTTTCCCCGCCAAATTCCGTGCTTGCTTCAATATTCAATGCCATGTGTGGTTTGCAATGTGAAGTGCTTTAAATACTTGTCTTGAAAAAATGTCCAAAGTCACAGCTTCAAGTGGATCGAACCCGGTGGATTTACGATGAATTGGTTAAGAGAACAACGTTTTCTACAATAGACTGAGTACCGACGACGTAGGCTATTCCCACCCTTGATGACCTGACCTTACCGAGTGCTCGCAGGACCTTCCCCGAAAACATCAAGCTTCCCTTTCAGCAAACAAAATGCTCTGCGTGTGTGTGCGTTCGTACATGTTTTCCAATACGTCCTCCCCCTAGCTCAACAATCAATTCCAGCACAGGCTGCCGCAGAGGCAAAGGCTTCCTCTACCCTACCCCCCCCCCCTTCCC